CATAATCAATATCTAGAAAATTTGGAGATTTAATTTTTAATTAATTTTTATATTTAAATCTACATATTAATTTTTTAAAAAAATGTTATAGTACAAGAAATAGTTACTAAATGAAGTTTTATCTTTTTTGAAATAAAAAAAAAAAGGCAAAGAACAAAAAGAACAAAAGCGTTATTTACATGTCTTGATTGTGGATGGGGTTATTGAATAACCCTAATACGTAATAAATATGTCAATTTTGTTATTTTTAATATTGCTACGTGAAAATAATTTTTAAAAAATGAGAAATGTGACATTCGAGTAAAAGAGAGATACAAATAAATCGAGACCATATCTAAATGAGAGTGATGTTGAAGATACGATAACTGATAAAGGTTTAAAAGAATTGAAAGTTACTACTTATATAAATAAGATACACTTTCTTTTGGTGCCTTATAGAAACTTCATGGTTAAAATGTTTTATTTAGAGAAATTTTATGTTAGATGTCTTCCAAGAAATTTTCTTCTGATGCATGTGAGTGAGTACAAAATATCATGGAAAGACTCGTGTTAGTTTGTAGAGATAGTTTTCATTTGTAAGAAGTGAAGAGTAGGTAAAGTGACCTGGGGGAATGCAAAAATTATAAAATTACAAAACTACCCTTAAAAAAATCAAATTGACTTTGGCTTCTCGCATATTGGCGAAAGGTATGATGTAAAAGTACGAAAAAGTCCAGAAGTTTGGTGCTCCTCCACTAACATTACATAGCCTCGCGAGAACAAGGGTGGAAATGAAGTACCTATGAGACAAAAATATCTTGGAATTTTTAAATGGAACCTTTATTTAAAAAAAAAAAAGAATTATTCTATAACATACATGTTTAAATATTTTGTATATTCTCTAATAATATGAGTTCTAAAATTAAAATATTATTATAATAGCTCTTACCTCTTACTTACACATTTTAAAAACTTTGAGGTAAAATTCAAGAGAAAAATATCTATTAGTAATGAATGGATTGTGAGATCTCACATAGGTTGGAGGGGAACGAAACATTCTATATAATGGTGTGGAAAACTCTCCCTAGCAGACATGTTTTAAAAAACTTGAGGGAAAGCTCGAGGATAATATCTTCTAGTAGTTGGTGGATTGTGAAATCCCACATCGAATGGAGAGGAGAACGAAACATTCTTTATAATGGCGCAGAAACCACTCCCTAGCAAATGCGTTTTAAAAACTTTGAGTAGAATGTTGAAAGGAAAAACCTAAACAGAACAATATCTACTAGTAGTTGACTTGGGCGGTTACAACGATTGTAATTTTGGTGTTACGAGTTTCGAGGTATAAAATGTGAAATGAGTAAAGTAATATGCATTGAGTTGGAAGAAGCTATTTAAGAAGGTAGTTACTCAAAATGAAAGAAAGAGGCTAGTGATATGAATTTAGAATCTTGATTCTAATGAAATTAAATATCCATATCAACTAGCTTTGATAACTACTTGGAGTGGTTTAGCTCGATCTTAAAATTGACTTTTCTGACTAGGGGTAACCCTAGTAACTTATTCAAAAACACATCATCGAATTCCCTAACCATTGGTACCGAAATCTTGGTGCCTACCAGATTATCACACAAAATTTTGAAAAGAAAATCAGTGTGTAATTTAACCAACACAAAGTTTGGGATAGCAAGACTCCCCAAAAGCATGGATAGTTTATAAATTTATTCTCTCTCATCTCAGTGTTCTTCTCTGTATGCTCATTATCAAACTTTCGTGAAGATGGTGGGAGAGATTCTTCAATATTTATGGTTGGTGTTAGGCCATGACCTACTGTCCACTATTACAGGTGGTTGTTTGAACTTTTTGTTCAAGAGGGATACAGAGTACAGGTTACTTTTGGAGATTCCCATGATTCTTGCCTACCTAGTGGATATATTTGTTCCTGTTTTACAAACATGATACTGTATAAAATATATACTGTTTTAATTTTAATTCTTTACCCTAGCCGATGTGAGCATGACTTTAACGATACCCACATTTGTTGTATTAAAAAAATTTATATATATATATTTTATGATATCTTTGGTGGATTTAGCATTTGAGTAGATATTATCTTTTGAGGTTTTTGATATCTACTCAAATCAGTGTAGGCATACTAAATCTATCAAAGATATCATCAACAAAGAAATACATAAAAGTGAGTACGCTAAATCATGTCCATGGTGGCAGGCGATGAAGAAGAAAATCAGATGAAACATAAAGCATAAAATATTGTTCGTGAGAGAAGATGGAAATTCAAGATTTTGAATAGTTTGGGATGTTTTGAATGTGGTAAAAGAAGAAATCCAACAACTTGAGTGGAGATAGAAGTGTGGGTTGTGGATAGCCTGCATCTTCTTTGTGTTCATATTTGATTCCCCTGTGGTTTGACCTGTAACTTGGAACTCTATGCAACTATAGGCTTAGTTGTTGGATTTCTTACACCCGTCACTTTACTGTTACTAGAAGGGTTTGAGTCAGTGGAACTAAGTGACGGGTGAACAACATTAGTTTGTAACTTTTTACTCATAAAAGTGATATTCTCATTAATTAATAGAAGTGTCATGACTCCATCTTTAAGGACTAAATTTAAAAGATAAATTCATAAACAATTACAAATCAAGTATTGTTTCGAAGTTTGTTATAAAGCTGGAACCAAGTAACGGGATACAAATTTTAAAGGACCACGACCACAACCCCTATAATTTGGATTGACGCCTCGAGGTAACCCTCCTCTATGACCGATGAATGCTCCACCTTGACCAACAATCAACAATCATATGAAAAAAGAAAAGTAGAATTTGGTGAGTATAAAAATATTGTGTAACCAACCAACTTGTAGTCTCTAATCGCATCCTTGACCTAATAAGTTATCATGGGCTTCTCTCTAGGTTTTAGGAAGTTCGAGCCTAGGTTCTACAGCTATTTGAGCTTCTTAGGAAGCCTGGCAATTCTGAATGGCTTTCTTGTTGTCACAAACCCAATCAGGGTCTAAGAGTCGTTCACCTTTTCTCGTGTCGAGGGTGTACTGGACAACGTATCTGAGCTCTAGGGTGAACAAACTTTTTTATTTTTCAAACTTATATAGCTTACATTGCCATGGAAGTAAATGAATGGTATCCTAGATTTGGAGACATGACGTCGTCAATATTATAGGTTAGTATGGCGCATTTGTCTAAACATTTATGTCAGAGGTGAACTAGTAACATTTCCTTAGGAACCATAAAGTTAAGTCAGCTATTAAGTCTACTTGTGTGTCTCTTGTCTCCTATGAAGACGATTCCACATCATAGTGGCACCTAGTCACCTCGATAGGCTATCCTAACTGACCTAAATCAAGCCTGACAATACTAGCTCTTGTATGTCTATCGCTCACATGAGCCTATTAGATCTGAACTACGTTGCTAATATTAGTGGCATACTAGATGAATTAGGTGACGGAGACGGATGATACCATTCACACTACTAGTAGGTCTAGTAAGCTTCTTCAAATCTTATATAGGTGTCGTGGAGGTAACTAAGTTCTTAGGCCATATATGTAGTTTAGATCAACATCTGGTTAGAGGTTTGGATTATACCAAACAAAGTGTTAAGGAAGAAGAAAGAGAAAAGAAAAAGAGAAGGAATTTCTCAACTCCGTCCAGAATCGAAGAAGAACGAAAGATATGAGTTTTATGCTTTTTAATTTAAGCATTTTTCTATTCTACTATATTTTGAAATACACTCCCCACCATCCTTAACAAAATACTTTCAATTTTCTATGAAACCCGACAAGAGAAGAGGAAACACCACTAACACGACACGAAAGTTCAAAATAATTCTTTCATTTTTTGTTTTTTAGTTCTTCTAAATTTTTGATAACTTAATTAGTGAAATCACGTTTAAATTATTATCGGGTAATAATAAGTGAAAAAGTTTTAATTATAAAGACATCTCAAAATAAGTATTAAGATTCATAGTAAATAAAGGAATGAAGGGAGTGGAAGACAAGTTGATTCATTAAGAGGGGTAGGGATTATATTCAACCACTTTGTAGAACCTTTATCCAGAAATGGAAGTCTTCTCTCAATAGTGGAGGGTGCAGGAAAAAGAAGGTAGCTCATTTTGAACAAGTGATTGCTAATGGTTGGTCGAGACCTTTCTTCATCAGTGGTACTAAACATAGAAAGTTACTATTCAATGTAGCAGCCACCATATCAATGCATACATTCATAAAAACATCTGTCTATGTTCCTCTTAACCTCTCTCAATAACTTTGTTGTATTTCATAGTATATAATTGCAAACCCATATCGTTCTACCTCGTAGAATAGATTTAGGAATATGTTTTTGTTTGTGTAAGCATATTTAAGTCCCCATATTTGTGTCTGGATTTTTACATAAATAAATAAATGATAGTGTTGTGTCTGGATTTTTACATATAGAGATACATTTATATTATATATAATGAGTGAGGTGGAATAAAGATTTGGCAAGTTCGAGGTGGGATTGGATATTCATCGTTTTCAGTCTCGTTTAACTAACCGAAAGAAATCTCTTTTCACTTCTCTCATTTACATCCTCATTTGGGGGTGTGTCCCCATGAAATCTCGATCCTATGGCTTAAATTGACATGTTTAGTCTGAATTGTTGATTTGTGTAATAATATATTTTATAATGTTTAAAAGAACAAGAACAAGAACAAGAAGAAAAAAAAAAAAAAAAAAAAAAAAAAAAAAAAAAAAAAAAAAAAAAAAAAAAAAAAAAAAAAAAAAAAAAAAAAAAAAAAAAAAAAA